ATTGGATGTTAAGATAAATGCATTCTATTAACATGCACCAGCTGACAATTGAATACATTTTAGTGTGTTGTGATCGACATGGAGTTATTTTTTATACACTATTTGTTTATCAGAATTTCCCCTACTTGGAAATGAATTTGGTATCCAGGTTATTAATGTTGAAGCCCTAGATTAAAAGGTGATTGGTCTCACAGAGTCTTCTGAATGTATTTGATACATTTAATAATAATATAGATAAAATCTTTTATGTTTTATACTATTAGGAGATATTTATAGGATACTGAAAATAAAACATAATTTAAGAACCTAGTGAAACCAATGAAATGGAAATAGTCTGGAAGCATCCATAACGATGACTTGTAAGTTAAAAAAAAAAAAAAGCCTCCATAAGCACTATATTTTCCTATGTATTTTCTTGTATTTTCTATGTAGTAAACCCAATAATATAACAGCAATGGCTTTATTTTATATAAATATATATACATGATATGTATTTTCTGATTGTCTTGCTGGGTTTTTTTTTTTTTTTAGATTTATTTACTTATTTACAGGGAGAGAAAGAGAGAATGAGTAGGGGGAGGAACAGAGGGAGATAATCTTCAAGCAGACTCCCTGCTGGGCGTGGAGCAGGGCTGATGGGCTCCATCTCACAAACTATGACATCATGACCTGAGCTGAAACGGAGTCAGACACTCAACCAATTGAGCCACCCAGGCACCCCGTCTTACTGTCTTTATTTTCAAAGATAAAGCTGTAACTCTGTTGGTGTTTAGCCTTACCACAAACAATGAATAGTCAAGTGTTTTGCAATTTGCAGAAAGAGTTAATGCTACATGTGGTAACATCCTTTCAGGTGGTAAGAACCATATATGGACAGTGATCATTTACGCATTGAATTTCTGTATAATTTAGGCATCTTGCTTATTTTATCCCCAGATTGTTAACTGGTCTAGAAACCTGATGCGTGTTTAGTAGTGTGGCTGTTGACAAACTAAGAGGGCAGATAATGTTTTTTTGGACCTAGAAATGTTTAATTAAATCCCTGAATACAGGGATACAAAAATCTTTGGGATTATTTTTGGTAAAGAATGCAAAAAAAATTGTGAACTACAGATTTTTACATCTTACGTGGTTGTAGAGTATTTCCTAAATTGTCACTTGTGAAGCCAACTTTTCTACTAATTGTGTCTGTATTTAACGGTAATATGACAATGGAAATAACCCATATGCCCAAAATGAACTTCCTTGAAAATTAATTTTCACTCACTTTACTCATTATTAAAATTTGATCACTTTGGCCTTTCTCATTTCTACTTTTGATTTTACCCTAGCCTCTGCCATTTCATATGCCCTCTCTTAATAAAATTTAATTTTGCATATTTAAAGAAATATGCAAATTTTGGTATTACTGTACTTTCCTCCCCTTTTTAATTCCTTATTGATATTATAACTTCCTCTGCTTGCTGAATTTGTTGGCATTCTAATTTTGGTTCTAGAGCTGCAGAAAGAAGAGACACATATATGAGTCTTCCAATTCAGCATTTCTAATTGTCTGCTGAAAAAATTCTCCTTTGAGATTCATGAATTATCAAATTCCGTATGTTCTAAACAAATTCATCAGACAAGCCCATTGAAACTATTATATCCTTTCCATTTCCCTTATATGTAAATATATTTTTACTATATATTTATTTTAACCCGTATCTTAGTCCTCCTACTTTAATGCAAGTTCCATGATGAAATAAACTTTACACATATCCTTGCTCAATGGTATATGTACTCCATAGATATAACTAAAATAAATATATACAGAGTAGATACATAAGTGAATTATGTTGTTATTATTTGACATGTAAATTCAGCAAATTCGGTTTCCAAATGAATTTTTTAAACTTTTATTTTATTTTTTGAATTTTAGTTTATTTTTTTAATTATTTAAATTAAAAATTTAAATTATTTTGGGGCGCCTGGGTGGCTCAGTGGGTTAAAGCCTCTGCCTTCAGCACAGGTCATGATCCCAGGGTCCTGGGATCGAGCCCCACATCGGGCTTTCTGCTCCGTGGGGAGCCTGCTTCCTCCTCTCTCTCTGCCTTGCCTCTCTGCCTACTTGTGATCTCTCTCTGTCAAATAAATAAAATCTTAAAAAAAATCTTATTAAAAATTTTTTAATTATTTTAAATTTTAATTTATCTTTTAAAGAGACTTATTATGACCTGAGTCGAAGGCAGAGGCTTAACCCACTGAGCCACCCAGGCGCCCCCAAATGAATTTTGGTGACAGTTAATCAAAGTGTAAAGTCAAAAGAATTAGACTTGTCTCAATAATCTTATTTCAAATGCAAATCAGTCATGCAACTGAGAGACCAAGTATAAAAATATCAGGTTTAACTGCATAAGGAAGGAAATTTAAGGAAAACACAAGTTTAATCTAGCCAGTGATGCTCTCGGGATAAGATCCTTTTTTTTTTTTTTCTAGACTGACATTGTCTTCCTTTTGCCTTGCAGACCATACTAGTGTGGTTATCACTGCTTGTAGTTTTATCAAACATTACTTTAAATTGGGAAAAATGAAGTATTTTTTGTGACACTATAGGTTAAATAGAGGATACCTTGTATCCTCTTACCTAAGTTTTAAATATGTGAAAATAATGAGTATATTGCTTTGAAATAGTCACTTTGTTTATTTTCTCAACACATTTTCATTTTAACAAGAGCTGTGTACCACTGTGGTATCATATGCTATTACTTATAAGATGTTGAGATGACAACTTTGTTCCGAAGACTCAGATAAAAGAATCACACTATTATTTTGATAAAAATTTGCAGTGTAATGATACCAGTGTTCCTGGTATATAAAACACTCCCTAACTTCTTTACATTAGGACCTGGCCTGCCAAGAATGCTTAAAGCACACCTGCTTTTGGTTTTTAGAATCCGTGTGACAAAAGAGCAGTGATGCTGCTTTTGCATCCCCTTTTGTTTTTAAAAAATGGCAGGTTCTGGATGAAAATATCCTCTGATGTGACTCAACTGAGTCATGGTTTTTAAAACCACAACACAGGTAAAGGTTGATTTTCTGTAGGACTCTGGAAGTGCCCACTCCGGGGACTATTGGGCAGAAGGGCTGGAAAGAGCTTTTCCTATTTGACACAAGGAATCAAACCAGTTTCTTTCCTAAGACTTTTCTATAAAGTTCTGATACAAAGAAGCCACCATTCACTTGAGAGTTGCTGAGACCTGAAATTAAGAAGAGAATTGGTATTGGATGATTGTACACAGAAAAGAGCAAATGAACCTGTAACTCATACTTCTATAGACCACATTTTACAAAAATTAAATAATGGACTTTTGTCCTAACTTTTTAGATAAGTAAATAAGAATTGTAATGGCTTACAGGTTGTAAAACAGTCATCATTATTATTTTTTTAAAGATAATATTTATTTGAGTCAGAGGGAGAGAAAGAACACCAGTGGGGGTTAGGGGGAAGGTGCAGATGGATAGCAATGAGCAGACTCCCTGCTCATCCCAGGACCCTGGGATCATGACCTGAGCCGAAGGCAGATGCTTAATTGACTGAGCCACCCAGGTGCTCCTAAGTCATTATTATTAAGCAACTTTTTTTTTATATCTCTAATGAAATTAGAAGCTGAAATAAGAAATAAAACTTAGATCCCTAATAATATTCTAGAACAATGAATGGTTTTAAGTCCTGTAACTAGAAAGAGTGATCCAGTATGGAAAGCAGCTTGAAACTGAACTCAGAAAACAGTGCAACATATGAATACAATACTATTTCTATGCCCTTCCAACCTTGGACTTTACAGAATAGGTATTTGTTAAGTAACAATTAGAAGCTACATGTATAGCCTTTAGCTCTTACATTATAATATTTATAAGGTAAGAAAAACATAGCATATATCTATAAGGGAAGAATTCTGCAATATTATTAGTCTAACATAATCAGTCTCCCATGCCATCATTTGTATGTGTTATGAGAGATTTGTTTTCAGAATTTAGCTTACAAAAGAATCAACCAAGAATTAACCAGTTTATTTACTCCTTCTCCAACTCCCAGGATCCTGCTAAAACAGTTTTAGGAATTCCTAGGAATTTGCATGTCTTATGACCACCTCAGGCTGTTGGTACAAATGGCCCATGGATTATACTGAGAAGCAGAAATTCAAGGAACTATTTTAGTCAGCGATTCAAAAAACTCTGGGGGAAAGATACCAAATAATTTGAGCCAATGATTGTGTCTTGCTCAGTTGCATGAGAAATGTGAATATTATTAAGAATAAAATTATTTTTCAGCCCTAAAGCAGATAGAGAATTATGCGTGAACGATTCTTGAAAACTTTTCATGTACTTTGTGAAGTTCTACTCTGGTAGATCGAACTACATTTGGCCCACATCAAGAGATAGGAGATTGGGGCGCCTGGGTGGCTCAGTGGTTAAAGCCTCTGCCTTCGGCTCAGGTCATGATCCCAGGGTCCTGGGATCGAGCCCCCCATTGGGCTCTCTGCTCAGCAGGGAGCCTGCTTCCCTTCCTCTCTCTCTGCCTGCCCCTCTGCCTAATTGTGATCTCTGTCTGTCAATTACTTTTGTGTAAATATATGAAATACCAATTTTGAAGCCCCCACACTCCAAAATACTCTGTTTGAAACAAATGCAGATTCTTCACCAAAAAAGTGAATATTCCCCTGACTCCACATAGCCTCCCCCCAACCCCAGCTCCATCTTTAATGCTATATATATTTTTTTCTTCCTTATGGTGAGGAGAGTGAATTGCCAATCTCTAGGGGTTCCTCATATTTTTAGATTATAAATAGTCTTTTTGCAGTCTTCCTTAGAAGTCACTATTTCATTGATTTGGAAAAAAAGGACCTACCTTCTCCCTATACAAAAGAGCAACTAGTAATTACCAGCTGTTAACTTAATATAGGCATCAAAACAGATCCATTATAATATAGTTAATCTGTTCATTGCTGTTTTCTTTGCAGATTCAAGAATGGCTTTGTTTAAATTGCCAAACCCAGAGAGCAATATCAGGACAGCTCGGAGATATGGGCAAAATGTCACCTACACCTTCAGGACCAAAAGCCTCTCCTATGCCCGTGCCTCCAGAACAACCATCTCAGAAAGCAGCAATGCCCCCCCAAGCAAAAATGAAAAAGAAGGAACAAGAAGTAAAAACAGAAGCTGAGCAAATAGTTCCAGAAAAAGTGAAAGAAATACCATCAGTTGAAAAGATTCTCCCAAAGGTGACCACAGATCACAAACAAGAGAGTCAACTAGAGAAAGACAAAACTTCAGCCCCTCAAGAAGAAAAGCCACCCTCTGAGGACAAAAAGGCACTCCCAGAAGAAAAAAAGCCACCTCCTGAAGAAAAGAAACCAACCTCTGAAGAAAAAAAGCCAGAACCTGAAGACAAAAAGTTACCTCCAGTAACAAAACCATCAGCTCTAGAAGCGGAACAGAAACAAGACTTATTTAAAACTCAAGTACCAATCACTGAAGAAAAGCCAGAAGGCAAAGTGACTCCACAGGTAGTACAGGAGATGCCACCACAGACCAAAATGGAAGATAAACCCTCTGGCCCGCCTCCAAGTTTGCCCAAGGAAGACGATGAGGCAACTCAAACAATGAAAGAACAACCACAGGCAGCAGGCACAGCAAAGCCTGATCGGGTGGAACCTGGAAGAGAAAAAACAGTAAGTTACATTTTCCTGTCTTTGCACTGTCTTATATATATGAAATTTGTGAATTTTTACCTAAGTACAGAGCGCGCTTAATGGTAATTATGTAAGTGCAAGCCTTGGATTGGAGGCACTTTTGGAAATGTGTAACAGTTGCTGAAATGAACAACTTGGGCTTTCTGACAGCTTGATCTAACTTAAATAAAGCATAAGTATCAAATTTATTTTCCTTGCTTTTATGCATATCTGATAATTTACTGGAATTCTGGAGAGTGATAAGAAGAGTTTCTTAAATAAGTTTCTTCTCCTCTCTTCTATGAACATAAAATCAGTATCCACCTTTAATATAAAATAATATGTGTCTTGGGGCACCTGGGTGGCTCAGTGGGTTAAGCATCTGCCTTTGGCTCAGATCATGATTCCAGGGTCCTGAGATCAAGCCCCACATCAGGCTCTCTGCTCAGCAGGGAGCCTGCTTCCCCCTCCCTCTCTGCCTTCCTCTCTGACTACTTGTGATCTCTCTCTCTCTCTCTCTCTCTCTCTCTCTGTCAAATAAATAAATAAATAATCTTTAAAAAAATTCTATAAAAAAATAATATGTGTCTTTATATAAGTTTCTATTCACTTAGTCACTGGGTTAAGCAAGTCAACATGTTTCTTCTTGCTTGAAAGCCTTTTAAGGAGCCACCAGCCATAAAATGATTAAACTGCAATTGCCAAAAAAAAAAAAAAAAAAAAGTGTGGCTAAAATTCAGGACAAAAGTTAATTTTAGTATTTAACATGATTTTAATATAACACACTCTATTTGGAGTTTGTTTAATGTGTTTATTATTGAAGGATTATTTATAATCCTGGCATCATCTGGAATAATATATGTTCTCTTTCTTTAGTGGCAACTTTTAAGAGTATCCATTTTAACCTCTATCTGTACAAGCAATAATGTCATTTTTAGAAGAACTCTGTTTTAGAACTACATGAGATCTTACATCATATCTGGTTGAATGATTTTACCTCACAAATAACAGCAGTGACTTGAAGGGAGAAAAATGACTTATCAATATTAGAAATTAGTATTAGAACTTTAATAAGAATCTATAGACCATTTTTTTGGTGTTTTCGGTTTTACACATGGTTACTAACCCATCTTTGATACATGTTGTATCACTCATTAAGTACATCCTGGTCTACCTTCATTACATGAATGAGTGTATCAGAGTCAGAACAGGTGCCTGTATATTCTTTATTCCAATGGCTGGATCTAGTAACATGACCACCACCCATTGCTTCTCCTAGCTAACCACTTGGCAAAACCTGGTGTCTTTGGCTGTTTCTCTGTTTGTGAAGTGCCCCTGGCTTTTGTGACCCTTCCCTTTTTGTTCTCTTTTTGTCTTTCTGCTCATGCTTTATGAGTTGTACTTTGACTTTGTGTATTGCTTTCTTTCCTAATCTCTATGTGCTTAGGTTTTCTTTGTGTTTTGCTTTGGTTTGAGTTTTGTCTTCTTTGTTCTTAGGGGAGCCACATGAGCAATTCTTAAGTCTACCTGCAACCCTCCTGGCCCTCTTTTGAGTATCAGATTTGTGTTTTCAAATACCCAGTTTGAGTTCTGCTTCAAAGCCTTACTGTAAACCGGAACTCATTTGTTCGAATCTCATCCACTCTCTATAGAAGCAGTTTCTTCTGACTTTGTTTCTGGTAATGACAATATCATTCATTCGTCTCTAGTCTCCCAGTCACTACCCTTTTGAGTACTCTCAGATTTCTTCTTACCTGCCCACCTTTGCTCTCTGCATCCAATTTATCACATTCCTGTCTGTTGATGCCTATTCCTAAGGATGCTCCTAATGATGGCCTTCATGACCTATCACTAATGATTCAAGGAATCTAATTATGTCACCGTGCCTGCTCCCTGCTCTTTCTCCCTACTTCCGTATATATGGTTGTCAGATCATTTTTTTTTTGTTTACTTATGCGTGGCAGTTTTATCTTATTACAATGACCTCAATAGAAGATGACAAATGTTCATTTTACTTTTTCATTTTTAATAAAAATAACATTTTTATTACAAAAGAATATTTATTATTTATTCATTTATTTAAATTCAATTAGTCAACATACAGTACATCATTAGTTTCAGATGTAGTGTTCAATAATTCATTAGTTTTGTATAACACCCAGTGCTCCTCCCATCACATGCCCTCCTAAATAGTCAATACCCAGTTACCCCCTTCCCTACCCACTTACCCTCCAATGACCCTCAATTTGTTTTCTAGAGTTAAGAGAATTATTTTCCAAATTTCACATAATTTAACTCTGTCACTCAGATACTGCTAATGATTTCCCATTGCTTGTTAAAGAATCTAAACAAGAAATAGCCAAATATTTTATTAATGTACTTTTTAATTTTATTTTACACCTTCATCACTATCTTTTTATCACATCCTTTTATCACTACTTTTTCTTTTATTTTACTACCTTGGTATGTATGTACTTATTTCTGAATCAAATGTATACACTTATTTACTAATATATTATCAACAATAGAAAACATTCACAAAAACATAATATAAATCAGTGAAATAAGCTAAAATTATTGTTAGTTTATTTAATATAGATACACTTGATCACCTTAATCACATTAAAATATGATTAATAATAGTATTTTAGAGAGAGCATTGATTGTGCTTTAACATTTTTAAAAGTCTTGGTCTAAAGTTTTATGATAGAGTTATTTGAATTTCATCTTTTAAGTTAAGCTTATTTTGGTATTTTGAGGTTTAGTTTTAATGACCATCCATAACAAGAACGATAACCCGCAAGGATATATCAGAATTAAAAGGACTGGATCAGAGTTTGTACTTGCCAAATCTTGCTACGTGTTCTCCTAGTTTGAAACTGAAAATAAATTTTTTTTAAGATTTTATTTATTTATTTGACAGACAGAGATCACAAGTAGGCAAAGGGGCAGGCAGAGAGAGAGAGGAGGAAGCAGACTCCCTGCTGAGCAGAGAGCCTGATGCGGGACTCGATCCCAGGACTCTGGTGATCATGACCTGAGCCGAAGGCAGAGGCTTTAACCCACTGAGCCACGCAGGTGCCCCTGAAAATAATTTTTTTAATTGTGAAAAGTCCACAAACAGATGTTAATCTTCCCTGATACCAATAATTTGTTCTTGCTATCTGTCAGAAAATGAGGAATTTAATATATACATATTTACATATATATGTATATGTAAATATATATATGTGTGTGTGTGTGTATATATACACACACACACAAATTCCTTTAAAGCCCCGCTGGAGTTCCGCATCTGGAAGGCTTAGAAGCAGATTAAAATACTCTTTTTAAAATTTGTTAAGGGAGCAGATATGACAGTTTTTAAAAATGACATATGCCATTTTATATAGCACAATCACAAGATTTCCAAATTTCTGTTTCAGAGGGCTGTTTTCACATGATAATTCTCTTAAAGAGAATTTATTTTCCTTTTATTTTTATGTTTGAGTTTTTTTATTTCTATATTTTTATGTTTATTTTTTACTAAATACTTACTAAGTAGCATATTGCTGATAACTAGGGTTTACTTTCTCCCATCTACCTTTCTCCCTGCCCCCCACTATCCCTGTCATTAAAGATAGTCTTCAAGATATTAAGTTTCATCTCTATAAAACATACATCACATCCGTAAAATCCTGAGTCACTCTGTCCTATTCTGACCTACTTGTCACCAGATATAGTAAATGAATTTCACAGATACCGATATCTCTGTAATCTTACCCTTTTAAAAATAACAATTCAGTCAAAAAAAGCCAACTCTTCAGTAGGTAATATACTTGGTGGCTTAGAGTAGCACTTTAAGTATTACTTAAGCAGAAATAGTATTTAAACTGAAAATATTAAAAATATCTACACTTTGATTCTGTTATTATCAAAACTTTTGCTACTCACTTTGTTATAATTTCTCCCAAACCTTCTAGTTATTTATTTATTCTTTCCAGCAATATTTGCTGACAAAAAAATACAGTTTCATTTGTCACCATATCATTTCGTACATATTACTTCATCCATTTTTCCATGCTGGATATATCAAGTTTCTCCAGATGACGTGTGACTTTTTTTTTGTCTTTTATTATCAAATAAGAAAAATCAAAAGAAGATTATAAGTGTTTATTTTTCATTTTATTGAAAGTTGGGGAAGTTCTAGAATTTGCAGAAAATTTTAGAAGTTTGTGATGGTGTCATATCGCTTGCTATGGTGCTAAAGCATGTTGTGTTTAGGCAAGGTTTGGTATTGGCAATAATGGACGTCAATACAGATGTCCAATAGGTTTCCTGATAAAGGCAGGCGTTTTTGGCAAACTGTCAGATCTGGTTTAACTTGGTCATCGTTGCCTTTATGTTGCAATGTGGCTGATGAAAAGCTTGTAATAATATGATGAGTGTCAGCTTCTTTAGTTTTGTGTTTGTCATGTGTTTGTGTATTTCTTATGTTATTATCTTTATGACGTGATTTTTGTTTTGCAAGAATCTTTTGTCTACCACTTACCTGTAACAGGAAAGCTGGCGTAATTGCTAATAAGTAATAAAAGCCAGAGAGCTGCCCAACTGAATAGGAAACCTCAGTATAAAGATGGATGAATAAAGTGACTACCTCACTATAACGTCTCCTTAGAGTGTAACTCCCAGTTTTTCCTCAGGATTCCTTACAGAACAGGAACCAACTCATATAAGAAGTAAAGGAACATTAGTGTCAGTCCATTTATTAAATATTAGAAGCATGTAATTTTGAATTTAAAATATAGTAAAAATCTTTACATCTCTTCTAGCCCATTAGATCATTTTCCAAACTCACCTAGGCCTTTGCTTCCCATGGCCAAGACTCCTGTCCAAATAACTTAGTTTGGCTTTCTCAGCCTTGTGGAATATGGCTCCAGTATAACTTGCACTCAGGTCCCTGTACATTGTTGCTGCTCACTTCCGTCAGCCTGAAGTGACCACTTTTCTCCTCGGTGGCT